CTGCGCTGGGAGCCGCTGCTGTCGCTGCCATCGCTTCTGCAAAGCGGGCTAGCAATACAGCCTCTCCATCCTCTAGCGATGCAACTGGGGGGGATGCAGAAGGGGTTGTGGCATCCCACCCCAGGTGCTCGCTCCCGGCAGGGGGGTTGCCTCGAGACCCCTTTGTTTCAACCCAGCATCCTTGGGGGCAAAGAAATGCTCAGGGTTTATGTACGGTGATTTTCATCAGTCAGGAGATAATGGGGCTCCCCCGCGCTCACCCCTTCCCTCCGCTCTCCCCGCCAGGTAGTGGCCATCGACCTGGACGAGGGTCCGAACGGGCAGGTGACATACCGCATGCAGGTGGGGATGCCCCGCATGGATTTCCTCATCAACAGCACCAGCGGGCTCGTCACCTCCACCGCCGTGCTGGACAGGGAGAGGATCTCCCAGTACTACCTGCGGGTGGTGGCCAGCGACGCCGGCGTGCCCTCCAAGAGCTCCACCAGCACCCTGACCGTCAAAGGTGGGTGCACCAAGACCCCTCCGAGCCCTGCCCAGCTGCAGAGCCCTCTCCAGTCCCAAATAGATGGGTGACAAGGACACCTCACCGGAGGAGATGTGGTTTATATAGGAGACACACTGAGGAGTCTGATGGATATATGATCTGACCCTTATGTCTGTTCTGGCATACGACAGCACATAGGGAGAGCAGCCCATCGCGCTGCCGTCCCCGCAGGCTTCGCATCTTGCCCGGTGTGGTGTCAGCATAGTGCAGAAATGGGGAAAATACGGCGTTTCTGGCGGGGCCCTCAAATTCTGTATCATTTTTCCTCCATTCCCCCATCCCCCGTGTTTCTTTTTCTTTTGGCCTTGCCTTTTGCTTCAGCATGTGATTTGCATCAGCTGCGTGTCTGGACAGCCCATGTAGTCCCAGTTTCAGAGCTGGACCCTTATTATGTGGCCTGTCTTTAATTTAATGCATTTCTATTGACTGGCTTCGCACAAGCCTAGTGCTGAGGATAAGCATCATCTGGAAATAAACCTGGATTCTCCTCAGGCCTGGGTTTGGAAAAAGAAGTCTCTGGTCCTGTAACTCCAGAGCCCTCTGCCATACACCAGGAAATACTGAGCTTATGTTTAAGCCCCAGATTTTCCTCTGAATGGGGATGGAAATGAGTTTGGTGCAAACGGTAACTTTAATCACAGTTACGTAAAGTTTCTTTGGGTGTGAAAGGGGTGAGCTGTATGTGTCAGAGGCAACCAAATACAGCCTGCAGCCATGGGGACCAGCGCTTGCAGGGGGGCTGCAGGCACCCCCACCACACGAATGGCAGGGAGCAGCAGGCAGAGCATTCCCGGGAATGCTCAGAGCTGCAGGCAGGCAGTTTTGGGAGCCTGGCGGACATCAGCCTAACATCTGCAGAAGGGGCAGCCCTGGGGGGACACTCAGCTCTGCTCCCCTTTTCAGTTCTGGACGTGAACGACGAGAGCCCCACCTTCTTCCCAGCCGTCTACAACGTGTCACTGCCCGAAAACGTGGCCCGGGATTTCAAAGTGGTCCGGCTCAACTGCACGGATGCCGACGTTGGGCTGAACGCCGAGCTCAGTTACTTCATCACAGGTATGAACCCCTTGCAAAACACTGCGAAGGGGAGCTTTGGTTGTGGAAAGGAGCAGGCTGCCCCAGACCATGGCCAGGGTGTCCTGCACATCAGCGCTGCCTCTTCTAGCCCCTCCAAACCTTGTACGGTATCGCCCTCTGCCGAACAGCCCCGCTCGGCTCCCTGCCTTGCTGACCGCTCCGCTGCTATTCCTTGTCCTGTTCGGGGTGAACCCTTGCCCCCCCAGGCATCCCTTGCCTCTCACACCGTCGGGATGCAGCCAGGAAAAGCGTGAGGATGGGCTTAACACCGCTGGGGTGGCATTCGCGTAACGTGCGTTTAGGGCTGGAAGCCTCTCTGGAGTTTTAGGGCATCTCGTAGCCCGGCGTGCAGGTGGTTTTGGGTGGGCAGGGAGCGCCTGGCTCGCACCGCAGCTGCAGCACCTGCAGCAGGAGGCCGGGGAACCCCCTGGCCGCACTTTGACTTGCAAAGTGCACACGCGGGCCCTCGGGAAGAGGGCAAAAATAGAAGTGTCACCGGCGAGTCATTTTTCTCACAATAGCAGCCCTGCGTTTCATCTCACGGCCCCTCTGGCTTCCCCCACAAGAGAAAAGGTGTGTGTTGTCCCACAGGTACCGCAGGCCACATGCAAAGTGACCCCAGTTTGCTTCCGAAGCATTCAGGAAATGATCCGGCATTTGTATGATTCAGCTTTTCCTATAACCATCGCTCCTTGCCTGCGCCGTGAGGCAGGCACGGCGTTTGATGTGGCGGAGAGAAGGCGCTCAGCCCGCTTTTGCTGCAGAGAAGCTTTGCCTAGGATGAGATATGAGCTTGCCCTACACTTGCCTTGCTCAAAACCATGTAAAATGCAGCCCTTCGGGAGGGCAGGCTGATTTCCACGCTTGCGATCTCCACGGCCGGGCTGACCCCGTGCCCAGGCTGCAGCATCCCCTGAGGCGTGGGCTCTGCTCCCTGCGTCCAGACAACGGGTAACCTGGTCCTTGTCCTTTGCTGCAGGTGGGAACCAGGATGGCAAATTCAGCGTCGGCTTCAGGGATGGGGTGGTCAGGACAGTCGTGAGTCTGGACAGGGAGACCGTGGCATCGTACGCACTGATCCTGGAGGCCATCGGTAAGGATTTCCCACTGTTCTTGTGGGACCGCTGCCACGTGGGCATCCAGGGTGGCTGTGCAGGTGCCAAGCTGCCTTGGAAGCGTGGCAGAGAGACAGCAACCTTTGAGGTGCTCTATAAACCAGAGCCTGTGTTCGGTGTTAGCATTTCACAGCCCACGTGCATTAATATGTCCCGGTTCCACCATGACTTTTGCAGAGAGTAAACTCACCCCTCGGGCTCATCCAGCCCCAGGGCTTTCCCTTTCCCTCAGGGAAGGCAAGACCCCCATTCCCGAGAGGCTCCAAGCTGTCCGGGGGAGACCTCCACCCAGAAATGCCAGCGCCACAGCATCGTTCCCCTAATACCATGCCAGCCCTTGGCTCAGTGGCTGCCGATTAATCCAGAGCCACCTGGCACGGGCAGAGGGCCTGCGTGCCAAATGCATCTTGGCCGTCATCCCCAGAGCTTTATAATGATGCGCCTGTTTACAGAAGACTTGGACGTCCCTTTTGAAAGGAGAAATAAGTGGCCTGGTTAGAAATCTTGAGGGCACGGCATTGCAGGTGCCACGGGCTCTGCAGCAGGGATGCTGCACCGGCTGGGCACACAGGACCGCATCCCAGGTGGTAAAGGGTCCGTTCTGCCCCTCAGACAGGTATCAGACTGCCTGTCTTTTCCCAGTCACCAGATCCCACGGGCTCCAGCTGGGTGGGTTTAGTGCTTACTTGCATCAGGCATGTTGGAAAAACCGAACACAACCTATGCTCCCCGTTGCCTCATCCTTCGTGGCAAAAGCAAGAGCCACGCTGCCATGTCCTTATCTACTGAACATCAACCGGTCCTGGTGCTCTTTGGCTGTGGGCTGAGCTGGGTCTACAGAAAACTCATCGGGGCTTTTGCTTTTTGTCAGGGCCAGCTGCAGTCAACCGGACCCGCACCGCTTCCCTGCAGCAGCCGAGGTGCAGACTGGCTCCGGAGGTGCTGCTGTGCAGACCCCTGCCTGTCTTCATCCCCCAAATCCCTGACCTCCAGCAGTCCCTTCCAGCATACATCACCCTCTTAGTCTATGGACTTGCAAACCCTCTTTAATGACCAGCTGCGTTTCCAGCCTCGCTGGGCAGTGGCTCCATGGCAGAGCTTGGAGGCGGTTTGGCTTTTCCTTTCTCTTTCAGGATAGGCAGAAAAAAAACCCCCGTGGTTCAGTGTGGGATTTGGAAGCTGCAGAAAAGACAGAGGATTTTAGTTTAGAAATTTTGGTCCTGTTATTTTCAGCAGCCAAGGGCTGAGCACCACTTGTGCAAGGAGGAGACGGAGGTGACCGAACCTCCCCTCGCCTTTCTCTCCCATACAGACAACGGCCCCACCGGGAACCGGCGCACCGGGACTGCCACCGTGTACGTGACCGTCCTGGATGTCAATGACAACCGACCCATCTTCCTTCAGAGCAGCTACGAAGTCAGCATCCCCGAGGACATCCCGGCTGCCAACAGCATAGTGCAGGCACGTGGCTGTCTCCCACCAGGGCCCCTGGGTGGGCGAAGGGGGTCCTCTGCTCTCTGCGCCCTGGCACCGCGGCTGTGAGCTGCTGGAAGCCCAGGGAGGATGTTTTCTCTCCCCATTGGTGGTCTGTTCCTCCAGGCCAGGGCAAGATGTGTTCTTGCTCGTACGCTCCCCTGCTCCTTTGCTAAGCCAGGCTGTGAGCACCGGGGAGAAGACAGCAAAGCGCAAGGGAAAAATAAGAAATTCACCCCATTTCTGCAGGGGGTGAGAGGAGCAAACCCAGGCCCTGTGCTGGCGAGGCCCCTTTGCCCAGCTGCATCCCTGCTTTCTCCCTCCTCCCAGCAGAGGAGGGACCGAGAGCAGAGATTTCAAGGGGGAGGGAGAAGAGTGCGTGCAAAAAGATGCTCTTAGAGGGGGCAAAAACGGAGGGAGAAAAGCGTTTGGACTTTGCTTTCATTTTTGTTCCTCTTGGAGGGCGCGGTGGGCAGAGCTGAATGGCTCAGTGAGCGCCGAATGAATGCGGGCATTCACTCGGCCTCCGAGGGCTTCCAGCATCCCTTCAAACCCAGGGCTCTTCTGGAGCGGGTACCAAAGGCTCTTTGCAGAGGGCCCTGGGAAGGCTCCTCCTGCCTTGAATACCTCTCCCGGCGCGGGGAAAGGGGCAGCTTTGTCCCTGGCTCTCCCGGGCAGGGTGAGTCACCGGGAGGGAAGAAAGGAGCCTTTTGCCTCTTGCAACAAAGGTTTGTTGGGAGCTGTGCTCGGGGTGGCCGGTCCCCAAGCGCGAACCCTGCGGCTCCTCGTCACCTGTTGTGCCGTGGCACGGTGGATGTGATGCCCCTAGCACCGCGTCTGTCTCCGGGGTCAGGAATCTGCCTGTAATCTCTGCACCCAGGGCTGGAGGTGTGCAGGGGAGCTGCATAGGCGGAGAGGACTCCCAAAACTGAGCCGTTTTTGCAAATTGAAAGGCTGTGAATGGAGGAAGCCCGAGTCTGATATCAAAGTCCCTTTTCTTAGAGTGCAGTTCCCAAAAGAGGGAGATGCCCTTGGCAGTCTGTGGCAGAGGAGGAGGGTTACCTGGGGGAAGTTTGTTTTCCACAGAACAAAATCGGAGGGAACTGGAAATGGGCAATCACCTGGGTTTAGTTTAATTTACACCTTTAAAAGTGAACCATGTGTACTGAATGTCTCCCCCTTCAAATACATCCCCAAATCCCTATGGCAACAAGAGAGTTGTGGAAGGTTTCCCCATCCCCTTCTTGCAGACGCTGCCCTCGTTAGCCCCCATCCAGCCCTGAGCAGCAGGTCGACCTGGCTTTAAACAGCCAGGGGCTCGGAGCCGTTTTGCTGCTCATTTTAACCTAGCTTATTTAGCACGTTTAGAGCCACGTGAGCAGCTGAACGGCTGCGGGTCGGAAAGCCAGGCAGCCCAAGGCAGGAGGAGAGCCGGAATGTCCCAGGCAGACCAGAGAGGTCCTGACGCAGAGGGTCGGAAACCTCCTGCACCCCGCGAGGGTCAGAAACCATGTGAAACCCAGAGAGATGGGATTCGGTGCTCGCCGTGGGGCCTCGCCGGGCACGGAGGCTTCACCCAAAGGGGTGAACTCGATGGCTGAACGTAGTGTGAGCTGCAAGCCTGGAAGAATTAAACCACTTTTTCTTTTTTCTACTGAGTCCTTTAAGCACTTCAGATTACCTGCTGGCTGTTGTACCCTTTCCCAGCAGAAATGAGCGGCTCAGCCTTGCGTGGTGGCTTTCCAGGCTGGCAGCGCCCGGAAGCCGGCGGGCCGCGCCTGCAAGCCTCAAAAGACCTCTTTAATGCATTTATAGACATGTTTACCTGCTCCCGCTGCTCGTTTATTGAAGCAGGTTTCCAGCAGACAGCTGTAGCATGCATCCTTCCAAGCATCAACCGCAGCAACCCATGGCTCGTTGCATGGGGAGCGGGGGGACAGGGAGCGGGCAGCACGCGGGGGGCACGAGCCTTCCTCCGCCTGCTCAGGAGCACATCTCAGGGGGCAATCTCAGCTGAGGATTGCTTTTTGTGGAGCGCGTTCACCCCGGGATGCCTCTCTTCAAGGTGATATTTGTTAGGCAGCCAGGTTGCTCTGCTCTCGCCCAGGCTGTTTGTTCAGGTGCCTCGCAACTTGCACAATGTTTTCCAAAAGAAATTAAGCAGCAATATTTTTTTGGACTGCCGGGTGATAGCTGCGTGTGGGCGTAGTTCGGATGCCTCCACCTTTCCTGCCAGGAAACAGTAACCTGGAAAGCGTTCAGGAACCTGAAATAGCAAAATCTCCTGTCGCCTTGCAAAGCCGCTGCCTGGAAATGAGCTGCTTAAAGGGGCTCTGCCGGGATGCCCAGGATACCAGGGGCTGCTTGAGGAGGGAACTGAGCCTGAACCAAAAGCTTGGGAAAGAATAGCGGTGCGGGGTGAGTTAGTTCCTGCGGAGCGGGATCACATTTTGGTGGATTCCACGATGTCCCAGTCCTGG